CAGCCATGTGGGAAGGAAACAATTTCCTAGGCTTGATCTCTCAATAAATGCAAAAATTGTCCCTGCTATCTCCTCCTCCCTTTGGATTGGCTTCGTTCCTCTCTCATTTCCAAAGGATCACTACATCAAAGATGTGAGACAAGATCCAGACTAGAAGTGCTCGCTTCAAATTCAAGCCCAGGACAAACAGGCGGGCTTTCCAGCAAAGTTAATGACAGCAGTAACCACAGACACCAAAGATGCCCCCAAGCATCATGCTCCAGTGAGCTCTGAGTCCTCCTGTATCCGCTGGGGCGGGGTGGATGGAGATATTTCTGTGACTGTGCTTGTGCTCTTCTCCAGTTCTTTGATTTGTTTAGCAAACTCTGGTTTTCCTGTGGCTCCTCCGACCAAAGATGCCCACTGATTGCAAGGTGCCCTTGTGGGACCAGCACTGATGTCATGACTTGTGGGCGCTGGAGGGTTAGACCATCTTTGCTCGGAGCTGAGATCATAAAATGGTGTAATTCCCTCCTGTGGTTACTTCAGTGCAAGTCTCTGTGCAGTCACTGGCGAGGAATCTGGGTCCCTTCTCAGGATACAACTGCATTTTAATTGAATTAAGCTATGTCAAAGTAATCCAGCCGTCGTATAATCACACTCCAGTCCTACCCTGAAATAGCTCACGCAGTGATTTACAGCTCATGCTCCCAAGTAGAAAGGACAAAAATTAATTTCTCCCTCATTTACAGGCTCAAAAGTTTTCATACTTGAATTTTTCAGAAGTGATTTTCTACAACCAAGAACTGCTGACAGTGAAGAGTCAGGTGAAGAGCGGGACGTGGAAATTCACACTGATCACAGACCCTCTTAACCTCCTTCAACGCTTCAACCTTCTCCTAACGCTCTGAGAAGGTCACGGCTCGAGCTTATTATTTCCTTTCATTTGCACCTTTTACATTGATCTTCTTAATTTTCCTTGTGGCTGCGATGGTGGAGCGTGATGCATTGCTGTGCTCCTGCAAACAGAGATTGTTTTGCCCACAGGCCATGTGGCTGGTGCTAACTTATTTGGGAGCAGAGGGGAAGATGAAGGCAGATGAAGCAGCCTTGTTTGCTTGGGTCTCTTTTGATTGCTTACAAAACATCTACTGGATCCTCTGCGATGTGGCTGAACAGAAAGTTGGGGGTGTTCAGCCTGGAGAAGAGAAGGCTCCAGGCAGACCTTAGAGCCCCTTCCAGGCCCTAAAGGGGGTCCAGAAAAGCTGGGGAGGGACTCTTGGTCAGGGAGGGGAGCCATAGGATGAGGGGTAGCAGTTTTAAACTGAAAGAGGGGAAATTTAGATTAGATATTAGGAAGAAATTCTTTGCTGTGAGGGTGGTGAGAGCCTGGCCCAGGTTGCCCAGAGAAGCTGTGGCTGCCCCATCCCTGGAGGGGTTCAAGGGCAGGTTGGAGGGGGCTTGGAGCAACCTGGTGTGGTGGGAGGTGTCCCTGCCCATGGAAGGAGGGTTGGAACTTGTTGGTCTTTCAGGCCCCTTCCAACCCAAACCATTCTATGACTCTATACTTCTATGATCTCCATGTGTGCATTTATGAGAGTAGCTCATTCCAGAAGTAACTAAATCCCTGTGCATCAAACTCTGCCAGGTGGATGGGACTGCCCTAAAATCCCACCCAAAGTGAACTAGGGTCACTCTGTTCATCTCCCTTGAGAGTGTTCTTACTGGTGAGCAACTGTAACCCTGAGAATTTCACAAACAAAGCAGTGGGGAAGAGCGCTGGGGAGGTACCCGGGAGCTTTTTGGATGACCTCACCATGGAGGACATCTCACCCACCTCTACAAGGAGGTGTTAGAGCACCCTGAGACTATCTTCCCCTCTTCTGTGGCTGAGCGGGGTGGGGTTTCTGCTGCCCTCAAGACTCCTTATTGTGAGTGCTGGGTCACCCTCCTCAACCTCGGCAGCCAGAGCCATTTTGGTGCAATGGGGTTGATGGGGTGCAAATGGCATCAGGCTACATTTTTCTTCCAGTTGGAGAAAGAGTCCAGATTCCACTCCCTCCCGTGTGCCTGTTCGCCCACAGAAATCAGGCAATTGTGATTTATCTCATTTTTAATGTACTTTCTGCCGAGGATTTCAATCTGATTATCCCGGAGCTTTGGCCAACCACTTCTAGCCTGGATCCTTGGCCTTCTTCTTTCATGAAAGGCTGCTTTTAGCTCTTTGGCCTAGTTTTTACCCTCAAAGATAATCTCTCCGCAGCACTTGGCAAATTGCCAGCAGGATTAAAATCTGCTGGGGTTATTTACTCTCTTAATGAAATGCAATATACCCAAGTATATCAGCTCTAATTAACACCCCGTCCGCAACATCTCTCCTTAGCTCTGATAATTATGAGAAGAAAAACCCACACTCTCCCAGTCACCCCGGCCATGAGAGAGGAAATGAATTTCAGTAGCTTTTCAGGTTTGTTACTGCAAAAAGAGCTCTTCTCAAACTTCACGCTGGCCCACTCCTCCTCCTCTAAGCTGAACTGTTGCCAGGAGTTGTCTGACACTTTAAAATTTTATTTAGGTTTGGCTGACATGGGATGTTGGTGAGGACTCAACATGTCCTTGGGCCACACACTGATGGGTGGCACTGGCATGGCAGGAGAGCAGTGGTGGGTCCTCCTGGTGGGTCGTCCCAGGGAAGAGCTCCTGGGAAGAGTGTTTTGGGGCTGGGAAGAGGGAAGCAGCATTGAGCCCGGGTATCCATCCTGTCTGTTGTAGCATTTCCCTGGTGAAGCCCCCCAGGAAGTTTTCTTTTCCAAACCTTGTTTCTAGACCTGCATTTTTTGAGGGTTTTTTTTGGAGGGATCACCAGGAGCTGATCTTGTGCCCCTGTTATCTCTAGCGTAAGGCTGCAGTCACACCTGGAGGAGCTCTGGTGGGAGCACAGCAGGCATTGCTCAGCCTCTCCAGGGACAGAAGCTGGGCCACCCCTCTCTGATGTGTGCACACACATGCAGCAGCCTGTGCTTTGAATGTGGCTGAGACCCTTTCAACCAGTCTGCAAATCCCTCCTTCCAAGCAATGTATCTGGCAAGGAAGCAGTGACACCAGAATGGGGCACTGAAGTCAGAAGAAAAGAAAACCCTGCTATCTGAGGACCAAAGCAGGTTTGAGGAGGTCTGGCTGATGCAAACACCGGGGCTGACTTTGGTTTCCAGGTGCATCGTAGCAGTCCTTGCCCCAGGGTGGCTGTGGGTGAAACAAGCCTGACACAGGGATCCTGGAAAAGGACTCCAAGGATGCTTTGACAAAGTCTGGAAAGCCTGTCTTAACTTTTCACTGTGACAGTTGCTGATAGAACACTAATATATTCGTAATTCAGAGGAGAATAACTCCAAATAAGCACTGCAGCCTCTCAGAAGCCCTCATCTGTGCTAGATTACGTCAAGGGCTCTTGAATTAAACAAATCTGAAGTTTCTAGGCCAAGCCATTTTTGAGATATGACATGAAAAAGCATTATGAGATGCTTCAAACACTCTGAATTACACTTATTTTCCCTAAGACCCATGTCTCAGAAATGGATTGTCTGATATGCCTCAGGTTTTGCCAAAAACAATCCTCCCCTGGCTATAGACCACATCCATGGTCTGTCTGAAGGTGCTCCCTGCCTTTTATAATGGCTCCAGCAGCGGGGCTAAAACCAGCCATTGGAAAGCTCGTTATAATCTTCATCAGGGGAATGGGGAGAATTGGGCCTCTGTCAAAACCCTGGCACTTTGCAATCCTGCTTGTCCCCCCAGGAAACCCCACCAACAAGTGGCCTCCATGCTGGGACATGGAGATGCCATCACAAAGTGATCATAGAATCATAGAATGGTTTGGGTTGGAAGGGACCTTAAAGGTCATTGAGTTCCAATCCCCCTGACATGGGCAGGGACACCTCCCACTAGACCAGGCTGACCCTTGCCAGTCTTAGGAACACTAGCAGGTCCCTTGGAAGACTGTGCCATGTGTGCCAAGTCTGGGACTGAGGCAATCCTGAAAATCGGGAGGGGAGAAGTTATAACTGAATAGGAAATGAGCTTTTTTGGGCAAGGTCTCACTGTGTGTTTCTGTCAGCTTGGCCTGGGTTCACCGTAGTCAAATTCATTGCAAAGGACTGTGTGGAAAATAGTGTAGGCATCTGCATGGGCTTTGCTGAGTGGTTCATCTTCACTAGAGAAGAGGTAACGAAGTGCCTGAAGAGCCCAGTGGACCAAGCCCTCTGCACCCATCTTCAAGGTAATGTCCTTCTCTGTGTGCTGAGCAGCCTCTTCATCCTGTCCTGAAGTAGGACAAATCCACCTTACGAGCCTTTCATGATGCTTGTCCGCATCTACTTCCCTGGAGACAGTGGTGCAGGATAGTTGATCTGAGGGATGATGGTCTCTGGTTTGCATTGGAAGACAGTGTTGAAGTGCAGCCTTCTCTTCTAACTTGGGATTTGCAGCTCCACATCTCTTCTCCTACCCCAGCATGTTCCCATCACAGAGCTGTGGGAGATCCAGGGCAGACCTCTCCCAGAGCACCTCCTGGGGCCAGCGAAGCCCAGGCTGTACCCGTGCAAAGGACACCACAAAGAAGAGGTGCTGGGTGGACAAGGGTGGCCAGAGGGACTGAGAGGAAGCTACAGGTAGCCCAGCACAACCCTGCTGTGCTTCTTCCAGGGTGACGAGTGCATGCCAAGCTTCTGGCAGGGGCCACACCGTTGGATGCCATGATTATTTAACTGAACTCCAGCCTGGCTATTTATGGACAGAAATCATATCCAGAATCCAGGCTACACAAGTGTTTAAGTGCTCTTTGGGAATCTTCCAGGAAATGTCAGAAAATTCTGATTAGACAAAATCAAGATTTTTCATGGGACCGTACCGGGCTGTTCAGCAGCGGCATGTAAGGAATTTCTGATGGAAAGCAGAGACAGGCAGTGGCAGGGCAGGCAGCTGCCTGCAGGAGAGAAGTTCCTCCAGGCCAGGGAGGACCCCCAGCTTTGGAGCAGTGGTCTTTTTGTTCCCCTGGGACAACCCCCACTGGTTTCCATTGGTGTTCAACCCCCAGCCCTGAGAAACGTTTGCCATAAGAGCTCCATCAGAGAGAGGCGTGTGAGGACCATGGCCTTGGAGAACTGCTCCTGCCTCACATCCGACCTGCTGCAGAAGGCTTGGGTGGAGGAAATGAAAGATGAGAAGGAAATATTAAACTCAGCCGTGCCGTGGAAGTCAGCGAAAGGCTGCAGCTTGAGGAGAGAAGCTGCAAGATGCCCCTCCATTGCAAGCCTCAGGATTCAAAAATCGTGAGTCATATGTCCCCAAACTGGGTCTCTGCCTTACAGAAACAATCTATATGTATTTATGTATATCTCTGTGTGAATAAGGGATGGGGAGGTGTTTTTAATTTTCTTTCTGAATTTTGAAGGCTGTATTTTTAATCTTTTCTCTGCCGTACTGAAGCTCAGTTTTATTTCTTTTTTTTTTTTTTTTTTTCCCCTGGTGGTGGTGCTGGCTGAGATTGCTGGGCAGTTTCCAATTCCAGGAGCCACAGCTTCCAAGGGACACCTGTAGTGAAGAAACCAGCAATGCCATTGGAGATTATTAGCAACCACATAACCAACGTGAGATTTAATTTGAGGTAGAGCCTCCAAACATATTCCAAGTCAGGAGTATAACTAACACGTCTGTGAAAAACCTTCTGGAGGGGAAGGATTGAATTTCTCCTTTCCCTGTTAAATACTTTACTCAAAGTCATCTTTCCTGACGTCAGGAGCTGGGCAACAGCGAGCTCGTCTGGGTTGGGACCTCAGTCCAGGCTGGACACCCAGGCCAGGTGAGGTACCTGCACCACCTCAGCAATCAGTAGAGAGGAGGAGCTGGAAGGGACAACATCTCTGGGGTGTGATATGTCCTAGTCACCTCTTTTAAACTGGAACCTAATCTTATGGTTAAAGCTTTATGTAGGATGATCAAAGCCTTAGATCTTTGCACTGGTGAGATATCTCCTGGGAGCAGGCTCGATGGATTTGTTTTTGAGCTTTCAGCTGGGTCCAGCAAAAGAAAAGAGGCCAATGGGGAACACTGTCTCCAGCCATCAAGACGCTGGTGCCAAATCTTGCAAACCTTTATGCCTCGAGCATAAAATGCAGCATTCGGGCAGGTAAATATGATGTCGATCAATCAACTGGTGTATGCTCGCTTGCCAGTATGTTCACTTCATCCTGCTGAAATCCCTGGGAATGCCTCTCCACGAAATTAGGCCTTGAAAGAGTATTTTGCAAGTGTTTTTAGCAGGCCATGCCATGCTGAAGAGCAGCCTATAACAGAGGTGTGTGTATAACCCCCCCCGGGGCTGCCGGTGCCCTGCTCTATATATACAGGAGCCCCTCTCCTCCCTACTCCTCAGGTAGGGATAATTACCTTACCCTCATTGCTGGCTCCTGGTCATTAGTTACGTGAGATGTTTACCCCCCAAACAGGAAGGCAGGGTAGGAGCACTTCATCCTAGGAGAGGGTTAATCTCCCGCTGGATGTGGGATGCCCTCATGGGAATGGAATGTGTAGTGTTGGTAAGTGGTTGTGCCCCAGAAGCCTTTGAGAGCCCACTGACTACTGCATGCTAACGATTGGTATTATTAAAGAACAATTGATGGCCTGTAACCAAACAACAGAAACTAATTACTGGAAAACTTTTATTGTCCTTTAATTACTGGGCCTCTTTGTCAATTAGCAGAAGAGAGAGGGAGAGGGAGGAGAGAGAGAGAGAGAGACTAGTTTTATAGCAACAATAAATTTTCCAAAACTACAGTCATCAGTAGCTGAAAAAGCCAGTCTATTAACACACAATATTAAGGCATGATATTTACTCTAGCTGCTAAATGGAGGTGCTTTTCTTCTGAAAAAGCACCGAGCTCTAGGAATACTAAACAGGGTTGGTTTGTTTTTTTTTTTTCTCTTCTCCCTACAGCTCTGCCGCTGCCTGACACCAAGGCTTTCATTTTCCAAGCAATTTTATTTACCCCTTGCCCAAGGCTTCCTTTCCCCAAGGTTCCTCCAGCAAACTGGCCCTGTGCCCACCCGAGCAGCATCGGGAGCTCAGGGGAGGTTGAGAGGGATGGAGAGGGGACAGAGATGATGTTCATCCCTGCGAATGGAACAAGGACCGTCTTGAGCCGGGGTCCTTGTTCCAGGCTCGGTAGCACTACCCAAAAATAGTTTATTCAACTTTTTTTTTTTTTCCCTTTTTCATCCACTGCCACAGAAATTATTTCTGGGCATATTGTCACAAGGAGTTAACCTTCTCCGAGGATGTTTGAACTATGGTTACCCCCAAAAATGAATCACGATTATTTTTTTTTTTCCTTTTCTGTCACTTGGCAAAAAGCGTTCAACAATATAATTTTCCTCCTGTTTGATTTTCTGGCATTAACTAGTTAGTGTTCCGTCCGAAGGAAGTGCTGTGGGCACCACCACTGCTTGGGCATGATGTGAAGCACTGGGGAACCAGTTCCCACCACTGTGAGGGACTGGGCTTTTCATCCCAGATGGCCCTTCCAGGTACCCTCTCCCACCAGGCAGAGAGAGCCACCAGACCTGAAGGCACCTCCATCAGGGATGAGATGGGGACTCCTCAGTTCAAGAAGGACAGGGAACTGCTAGAGAGGGTACAGCAAAGGGCTATGAAGATGATGAGGGGACTAGAACATCTCTCTGATGAGGAAAGGCTGAGGGACTTGGGTCTGTTTAGTCTGGAGAAGTGAAGACTGAGGGGGGATCTGATCAACGCCTATAAATACATAAAGGGTGGGTGTCAAGAGGATGGGGCCAGTCTTTTTTCAGTGGTGCCCAGTGACAGGACAACAGGGAACAGGCACAAACTGGAACATAGGAAGTTCCACCTAAACACGAGGAGGAACTTTCCTTTGAGGGTGGAAGAGCCCTGGAAGAGGCTGCCCAGGGAGGTGGTGGAGTCTCCTTCTCTGGAGACATTCAAACTCCACCTGGACACATTCCTGTGCAAGTCTGGGTGACCCTGCTCCGGCAGGGGGTTGGACTAGATGATCTCCACAAGTCCCTTCCAACCCCATAGCATTCTGTGATTCTGAGATGCTTTGTATTGCACAATAATTGCCAGACTCCTAAAAGCTTCAGCAATAATAACTTTCATTTATGATGGAACTTTTCTTCCTCAGTCAAGGGCATCTGGATCTCTTTGAGTATTCAGGCGCTTCATGGAGTTCTATGTCAGATCCTATACGCGTGTTGGGCAGAGACAGAGGTTATTGGAAGGAGTTAAACTACTCCCCTGAGTACCTGCTTTTTAAAAGCAGCTTGTGAAAGAGCAAAGTACCAACCTTTTATCAGAAAACAAATATGATTTCAATTCGTGATGGGAAATACTGGAGAGGCCGGATTTTCCCGTACGTTGGCCAACCGAGCCCGTGCCTGCTCTGCAGCCTCTGCTCCATGTGCTCAGAGCACTGGCAATGAGAATTCGGGGCTGTGGCGGGACAAAGCTTTGGGGATATAGCTTAGAAATTTGTCACAGCCTGCCTTATTTTATGTTGCTTGAATAGACTCGGGTTTGGTGCTACCAGAGAGAATCCGGGGTACTTCCCGCAGGCGGCCTTAACAGCCACAGGAATCTACGGTCGTTTGGCACATCTATCCCCATCTGATGATGCAGAGGAATAGCTAATCCCATAAAAAGCAAGCCAAGCTACATGGGATTTCTGGAGTTTACCCATGGGACATCTTTATTTCAGCGTCGGGGGTGGGTGGTGAAGCCCCTCTCCCAAATTCCCCCTCCCTCTCCAAGGGCGTTGGGGCAGGGTGTAGTTAAAAGCCAAGGGGGGTGAAGCCAGCCCTAGCAGAGGAGCACAGCGTCCCCCACCACGGGTGGTTTGCCAGCACCGTGTCCCTGCAAATGAGCGCCCAAAGGTTCTCCAGAGACAGGGAAAAAGAATAAACCCGAGGGGACGAGGCTGGTTTTCTTGGCAGAGGTCCCGGGGATGGGAATCAGCAGGGCAGGGCAGGGTGTGGGGCTCAGCAACACTGCCCATGGGGTAACGGGGCACGGACCACCGTGCCAGGTGGCTCTGGTTTCCCCCCCCAACTCCTTTATCCCTTCTTTTTTCCTTCTCCTTACACATAGGCTATCTATCTCCTTCCACATTTTCTTCTTTTTTCCCACCTGTTATTATTCCCTCTTCTTCTTCCCACTACTTGCACCCTTTCTCTTCCTGTTTTGCAACTTTTCTCTTGGTCTGAAAAGAGGGAAGGTGTAATATCTCCCTTTGTCCTAATTTCCTGGTAGTAGTGGTTCAGAGCTCCTGTTTCTGCGAATTTCTCTCCATGTTACACCTGACCCTGGTACTGGTGGAGATGTACAAACCTGTGCAGGGTGGGTGACCTTGTACAAGGAGGAAAGTCCTTACAGGAGTGTATTTTCTTAGGAAATCATACAAATAATGATATCTAAAGTAAGGTTTCTGCCAGGGTAGGTATTTCAGTGCAAAACTGTTGTGACAGATTCTTGAAAGCTGGGTGGAACAGTAAGATAAAGCACATAAAGTGACAGTCAGGGTTGCGCAGACACTGAGATTGTGTTTTGCCTTCACCCGTCTCACGGCTTTTTGCTCCCAGTCTCCTCCTTTGAGGCCTGTGTCTTGCCCAGTGCTAGGAGAAGGTGTCTCCACTGGCAAAAAGGGCCAGAGGTATCTCCCAAGGCACCCTGACCCCAGGGCCATCCCTGTCCACATCTGAGAGTGTTTGTCGATCCTGGCACTGCCCAGGAGGGTTATTGAGCAACTTTGGGCTTGCTCTGTCCCTCTCTCGTTTGCTGCTCCTGCCTTTCACCCAGCATTTAGCAGGAATGCATGTCAAAGCACTCTGCCTCCAGAAGCAGCACCCATGTGCCCATTTTATAGATGGGGAAACTGAGGCAGGGAGGTGCAGTTTCTTCCAGAGCAGATTGGGGGATCCCATTCTATCATCTTCACCACTGTGATTGTTGCACTGGACATCTCAACCCCTGAAGGTTTCATTTCCAACTCATGCCTCCACCACTATTCAGGGACTGGACATGCCACCATGCCTCATGCAGGAGTCACTTCTAGAGCTGTTCAGCACAAACAGAGGATTTGGGAGACCTGGGACCTGTTTCCTACATTTTCTGAGAAAAAGGACATGAGTCAGGGCTCAATTCCCTGGCAGGGGACTGTAACACATGCTCGTGTGCCCCAGCTGGTGGGTCTGTAGAAGCACTGCACTCTGACTGTGCAGTGGTGCCTCCCAAAACCCA